TTGGTACTTATAGCTTGTTAGTTATATCATAACATTAAGGCTAATACAATATAAATAGTTAACATCATAATGCAACATTTGATAGCTTTTTCTCATCCTTTGCTCTAATGTCATAGCTAAATGGCATCACTATTAGCAATTTTGATAATTAATCTCTTATTTTAATTATCGATTGATCCTTAATTGAGGGCTCCCTCCGATACCATATTGACTCATTCTTAGTCAGTTAACTTTTACTGCTTGACCAATCATCTCAACACTTATCGACTATGCAAACATAGAGTCACACTGATAGCTCTTTATCAATTGGTTATGAGTTGTCCAACATTTGTTGCTCATTTGGCTGCCATAGTACTCATTAGTTTTCCAACCATCAAGTATCACTTCAAACTTATGTATAATTAGCTTTGAGCTAACTAATTTAAAACATTTCCATCGAGCCTCTGACTCCACAATAGTTACTAACAATCCAACTATAATACACTTTGCCTAATATCAACATGAAATCACAATCGATTTGTATGTAATCACTTTCCACCAAAGGATAAAAGGGATCACAAGTTCTTTTAAGGTGACTCCTTATAACAATCAATTAGGAGCTTGATCTCATTCCAGTAAAAGATTGTCTTCAGGTTCATGTAGGGGGTCTTCATTCACGCAACTATTAAGATTGAATCCATGTAAAAAAGATGTCTCCTCCTTTCTCTCCTCCGTGTCTCTCACCCTTTTGGCTCCACTCAATGGGGCGAGATAAATCTTCATCATACTATGTATTAATTTTCTTTCATTATGGAGTTATCTCACTCATTGCTACATGAATGTTGGTTACAAAGATAAACCAAATGTGTTAATTTCTTTATCCATCATATTCTTCCTCTCCTCTCTTCTCAAGGAACACTAATTCCTCTGAAGCTAATTAGTTCAACATTTCGAAACCAACTTCTATCATTCCGCTTTTTTATTTTTTTATTTTTTCTTTTATTTTTTCCTTCAGCTTTTTCTTCCTCTTCCCCTTAGTCAATATTTAGGGTTAATAGTTAAAATGAAAATTAACTATTAATAATTATTTGTTAAATCATTTAAATATTTTAAAATTTATTCATTTTCTTTAAATTTTTAAAAAGCCGCCGGAAACGCCAAAAAGCCGCCAGAAAAAACCATAGTAAAAAACCGTCGGAAAAGTGTCGAAAAGCCGCCGGAAAGCCGCTGGACAAGGCCGTCGGTAATGGGTGATTTTCCTGTAGTGAAAAAATGTTATCCATTAACACATATTCTAAAAAAGTGTAGTTAAACATTTTAATTAATATATATATTTTAGCTTATAAACTCACATTTTAAACAGATTATAAATATTTGCCTCTAAATAAATAGAATATTTAATTAATCATGTGTTCAATTATGATTAAAATTTGTAACCACACATAAAATCATTTTTATGTAATGATCATTTGAATATAATTCATAATTGTATAATTAAATTACTCAATTAAATTTAACTATGTTCTCATAATTAATGTAAAACATAAGTTTCACTTACTAAGCTACTAAGAAGAATAATTGGAAAAAATTGTATTAAATTTAATATGAATTTAATCCAATTTCAAACAAAATTATGGCTCTATATTATTGCATTTTCAAGTTAGTTAAAATTGATAAAATTATGAATTGACTCAAATAAAATAATCATTAAAATTTTAATTCAAATGAGAACAAAAACCAAAAATACTTAATAAAATTAGATTAAGTTGGCTACTTAATTAGATATTTAAATGTTAACATCCCATATAATTATGAAGTAATAGAAGAAAATCTTTATGAATCTTCAATATAGGACTATTAATCTTTGAAACAAATAATATTTTTATTTCTTAAAGGAAATTATTATAATTCCTCTTTCATTTCAAACCATACAAAAATAAATATATGATTAATTGATTATATCTTCATTCAATGACAAGTTTCATATTATAATGGCCCATTCCCTTAAAGAACAAACACACCATTCAAAAAATATATTCCTCATATTCTCATTCATAGCTCATATCATACTAACTTTATAATGTGGAATATTGGCTTATCTCCAATATGAATAGCTTTATAAAGTTTAAAGTGAATGTGGAGCACATCAAAGAGTACTTTTTTTTTTTTCATTTGGCTAATGATGAAGTTTATGTGCAAAAACAATAGAAGTTCAATGGTCCCTATTTGATGCATTGTACATAGAAGTCGAAAAGATAAAAGACATGTAGCATGTGATCTTTATCATGTTGGAATTGGGAGGGTTACCCTACCATAGGTAGTGATGTCTTTCTCCATGATTGTGAAATAAATCATTTAGTTCAGATGTGTTATATGACTAAGGTTTCGTTTGGGATGACATTTTTAAGCTTTTTAGTAGAAATAATTTAATTTTTATACTAAAAAGCTGCTTCAAGAAGTAGTAAGAAAGCTATGCTAAATGAAGCTTAAATGAAATTAGATTTTGATATGTATTAGCTCGATAATTTTCTTCCTTAAAGAAAGAGAAGAGTTAAGAGATCATGAGATATGCATGCTTTAAGGCACCACCTTATCATGCAAATATTCTTCCACAGCACTCTTTCCTCATTATTTTAACACCAATGCTTCTTTTTAATATATTAAATCATATTTCAACTCCCTCCCTATTGTTCTTATAGGTATAGATCCAAAGGTGAATAAAATCAAATTAACACTTTTGTGGGGGAGAAAGGTCAATTTTCAATAAAATGCTATGTTCAAAAGCCTTTGGATTTTATTTTCTTTTTCATGGGCAAAATTTTGTAAATGGCATTGGATTTTCATTGGATTTAATTTTTAGAAAAAGAATTCTCTTAAAAAATTGAAGGCATAGTTTGTTAATGGTTAAAATGATCACAACAATTTGAGGCGGCACCATTGTCGCTACTTAAAAGCGGCGATAACAATGATTTTATTTTATTTTTTGGAGGTGTTTGTATCTTGCATGATATTCGGTATATTTTGATTTCGTTAGAGACAACGTTTTTATTTATTTTATTTTTTTTTATAAAGCTATTGTAGATAAGTGCCTGTTAAAGTTATCGTAGAAAGCAGCTTCTCAGTATAAAATCTTTTTTTTTTAAGCAATGAAAAAAAGTGGCTAAATAAAAACTGTGATTTCAATATGAAAAATAAAGTAATAAGAAAGCTATCCTTAAAGAAAATTTAAGTTTTGTTTGGAATAGTTTTCTTACTACTTTTTACATCAATTTTCTAGCACAACAATTTTCTTAAAAGCAGTGGTCAAAAGCGATCCCAAATGAAGGTTTAAACCGCTATAATTAGAGTTGAGTTTTTTTAATATTTTTTGTCAGTTTGATTTATTGGATCGGCTAAAATGATAAGTTTCTAATGACAGCAATGTTGGAATTTAAAAGACTCAATTAAGCTTTAGCTTAAATTTACGGCGCAAATCAGTTAAAAAAATCAAATAAAAGGCAAAATAAGGTTATTATGGAATCAATTCTTCTTCAAATTTACTAAAATAGTAAAATCATTTGAATGGGTTCAATTTTCAAGCTCTATCCATTTAATCACAAACCCCACAATAAATCATTATGCCCTCAATACTCCACTATTTTATAAAGATAGAATTTTGACAGATTATCTTCAAGATTATGAATTTTAATATAGCTAATCTATTCTCACTAGTCTAAATTCTAAACGATCAAAACTTCAATAAACTTAGTTATTTGAAGGTGAGTTATTTTTATAAAAAATTAAAAAAATAAATTATATAGAACACCATAGTCTTTTAATTTATTTATTTATTTCTTTCTATCTTCAGATTGAGCTGTACGCCGTTTCCGGCCATAAAATGACCGGCAAAGAAAGAAA